CCCTCAGACATGTTTGCATATACGGTAGGCCTATAAGGATGGACAAACATATCCTTCCCATATAGCTTTCCGTTCTGTTAATTTGGCTTTAATTAATTAAAAGTGGTAATAAAAATAAAATTAATTAATTATAATTGTTGTGCCTATTAATAATAAATGTATTTCTAAAAATGTGTGTTTTATATTCTAAGTTCAGAAAAGCGAGGTTTACGGGGCGATTCTAGGGTCAGAGCTTTAGGGGTGCTGAGCACCCAATGAGCCCCACTGCCATCACCCACCCTCTTTTCACACACAAACAAAAAATATGTCTATTGAAAAATAACTTTATCATTTTAACATTGGTTCAACTAACTCCAAAATCCAGAATTTTTTTCTTTTTTTTTTTAGACCTTTTCAGAACACGTAGTTGTCATTTTAAATGTCTTTATTATTATTATTATTGGGCTTAGACACTTTTTTAAATCACAAATTACTTTCACAAGAGAAGCTGTATTCTCCATTGTGGGTTTGAAATAAATAAATAAAATAAAAGCAGGGGACCATTGCCTAGATATGTAATTTGATACAACAACAGATAGCTGGTTTGCATTATCTGTTACTTTAGCTTAACGCTTTTCAGAAAAAAAAAAAAGACAGAGGTCATGAGAGAGAGAGAGAGAGAGAGAGAGAGAGAGAGAGAGAGAGAGAGAGAGGGGTGGGGGGTGGGGGGGGGGCAGAATGTCAAGAAGTGGGCAGCCATTTTTTGGAAATAAATATATTTTAAATATATTAAAAAAAGAAAAGTTATTTTTGAATGTAATAATATTTTTACTGTATTTTTGATCAAATAAATGTATAGGTAAGCATAAAGAGACTTCTTTCAAAAATATATAAAATATCACACATTCATAAACTAAAAGCATAATACAAAAGCATAATATATGCTTCCTGTATGCGTCATTATTTTTATGTTCTTTTCTCATCTAGAGGAATAAAAGCGTGTCAAATCTCAGAAAGTACAGCCCCAGTTGAACATCAAAACCTGTTGGAGGGCCAGATAAAGATGATCATTTGACTAGCCCTGATCACCATCATATGCGAAATAATAAAATATCTTGATATTCTGGTTCAACAATTGGTGAAAAATTTGTAATATATATATATATATATATATTATTCTCTAAAAACCTATTAGCATAAACATTTAGTATAAATATTTAATGCAAAATAAATAAACTGCCATAACTTCTAAACAAAAACATTACTGCATTACATTTAATAGCCTACATTTATAGGCCTACATGACTATTAATATAACAGCATTTTTAATATGAATACAGGCACATTTCTGCCAAAAAAGTTTGTTTTACTAAGTTACAGTTAATTCATAAGTTGTGGAGTGAAATGTCTTCTAACTGGTTTGTTCTTGGAACAATGTTTCACCTGTTTTTTTGCGTCAAGATGTTGAGAATATCAGCGCCGTTTAATCTGGCTTTTAACTAGCTTAAATCACAGCCATCTGTGGGTTTATAATAGAGATAGAGAATTCTGCGCTGAATTGAAATGCTTCTCAGTGGATCGCGCAACTGTGTAATAATGTTCGCGTGATCGAGATCAGTCCGCACAGCTGCTTCGGCCGCGATCGCAGTTTTTTTGGGCCGAGCTGATAATGCTCCGCGCTGGCATCCAACTTAAAGGTGCATTGCTGCCACCTACAGTACTGGAGTGTGAAACAGATTAGTGGGGGGGAAAAACAGGTTATGACTGCGTGTGTGGCGGGTGGTGGGCCGGCCCGCCGGCCGTCCTGGAGTAGCGGCCGTTCTGTGATACTCCAGATCACACAGATGGCCAGTCCGCCCCTGGTGTGAGATGAGTTGGTTTGGGGGTGGGGTTAGTGTGTGTGTGTGTGTGTGTGTGTGCGTGAGATGAGTAGGTTTAGGGGTTAGGTTAGTGTCTGTGTGTGTGTGTGTGTGTGATGGGTAGGGGTCGGGTTAGTGTAAGGGGACAGAATATACAGTTTGGACCGTATAAAAACCATTACGTCTATGGAGAGTCCCCACAAAGAAAGCAACCAGAATGTGTGTGTAATATATATTACGATTCTGAAACGGGATTGTTTAAGCAGCTGTATAAGCATAAAGAAGAGTCAGACATGCGAGTGTAGCTCTGCAACTGTATTGTCAACCTAACATGGCGAGGACAGCAATCGACTGCCGATCGCATGATACATTACACACCGTAACAGGGATTGGCTGATTTTAACCGTGTGCGAGCTAACTTACCTGAGGGCATACAAGATGCGCTCTCACGCCGTTTTTTTCTTTCAAAACAACGACGACATTTTAGGCTAACGTTCCCTCAGACATGTTTGCATATACGGTAGGCCTATAAGGATGGACAAACATATCCTTCCCATATAGCTTTCCGTTCTGTTAATTTGGCTTTAATTAATTAAAAGTGGTAATAAAAATAAAATTAATTAATTATAATTGTTGTGCCTATTAATAATAAATGTATTTCTAAAAATGTGTGTTTTATATTCTAAGTTCAGAAAAGCGAGGTTTACGGGGCGATTCTAGGGTCAGAGCTTTAGGGGTGCTGAGCACCCAATGAGCCCCACTGCCATCACCCACCCTCTTTTCACACACAAACAAAAAATATGTCTATTGAAAAATAACTTTATCATTTTAACATTGGTTCAACTAACTCCAAAATCCAGAATTTTTTTCTTTTTTTTTTTAGACCTTTTCAGAACACGTAGTTGTCATTTTAAATGTCTTTATTATTATTATTATTGGGCTTAGACACTTTTTTAAATCACAAATTACTTTCACAAGAGAAGCTGTATTCTCCATTGTGGGTTTGAAATAAATAAATAAAATAAAAGCAGGGGACCATTGCCTAGATATGTAATTTGATACAACAACAGATAGCTGGTTTGCATTATCTGTTACTTTAGCTTAACGCTTTTCAGAAAAAAAAAAAAGACAGAGGTCATGAGAGAGAGAGAGAGAGAGAGAGAGAGAGAGAGAGGGGTGGGGGGTGGGGGGGGGGCAGAATGTCAAGAAGTGGGCAGCCATTTTTTGGAAATAAATATATTTTAAATATATTAAAAAAAGAAAAGTTATTTTTGAATGTAATAATATTTTTACTGTATTTTTGATCAAATAAATGTATAGGTAAGCATAAAGAGACTTCTTTCAAAAATATATAAAATATCACACATTCATAAACTAAAAGCATAATACAAAAGCATAATATATGCTTCCTGTATGCGTCATTATTTTTATGTTCTTTTCTCATCTAGAGGAATAAAAGCGTGTCAAATCTCAGAAAGTACAGCCCCAGTTGAACATCAAAACCTGTTGGAGGGCCAGATAAAGATGATCATTTGACTAGCCCTGGCATATATCATTTATTGTAGCCTGGCTATTCCTTTTTATTTTTATTTATTGTAGTCTCGATACACAGCAGACGACGGGTTGCGGTGTGCTTGCCCAAGACGTCAAATTTCAACGCTGCAGGCTCCGGTTCAGGGGTCCAAAGAAGAGAGAGAGTGTGTGTGTGTGTGTGTGTGTGTGTGTGTGTGCGTGCGCGCGTGCGTGTTAGGGTGGCCATACATCCGGATTTTGGCCGGACAGTCCGGATTTTAAGCCCCCTCTCCGGCGCAGACTTATTTGTCCTCCTTTTTGGAGTTGCGCTGAATCGGCATAAAAACCCGCTCTAGAATCTTTATTGGGACGCAGCAGCAAAGCGTCTATGCCGTAGACCTCTGGTTAAACAAATGATTGGCTGAAAGCGGTGTCAAATAATTATAATCATTGGTTAAAAACGTAAACAAGCCTCCACGTGCTGGCTACGTCATAACGTCAACATGCCGAAACGCCAGACCTCCTTTAATCCGGAATTGACAAAAGAGCACGAGTTTATATCGGTTTATATGAGCTGAGGCTGAGCACAGGGGGAACTTCTTTATTAAGAACTGAAATGTGTATTTATTTATTTTTCGCATTCATTATTTGTTTATGTATTTCTTTTATTTCCAGAAGTCCAGAAATGTTATGTTTTCGGGCACTGTGCACTTGGCAAGATATGGTTAATCTCAGTGATCAGCTTTTAAACGGACATCATCACAATGTCTTGATTGTTTACAAGTGGGTGAATGACGGATAAGGATTTAAAATGTACAAAAAAAAAAAAAAAACCTGCCAAAAATTCTATTTTTAGGACTTTCTATACGTATTAGAGTGTTGTGTATGTAATGCAATGACATGTACACATTTCAAGAATGTAATAAACCATTTTTTTGGTGAATCAGATCTTTTACCCCATGAAAATGTCATTCCTGGGTAAGTAACTTAATACATTTTTTAATTAATTACATTTCTACCAATGTTGGCATATAAGAATGTATCCATAATTGGAGCTCAATTAACAATTAGTGCTCGGAAAACTACATTTTAATCGCAATTAATATAATCAATTTGGGATTTTCATATAGACACTAAGACATTTTCAGTTATCAATTGAACAATCGTTTGTAATTTAATTTTGTGTGAAAATTTCAGAACTTTTGATCAGATCGTAAAAGTCTGATCAATAATGAGTGAAGGTGATATTAAAATAACTAGTATTTTTGTAAACAGAGAATAGCACATACAGTGCAGTAATGCTGGGGTTTTCCAGATGGAGTCGCTGTGGTCTATAACTAAACAGTAACCTATGTAGATATGAATGTAAATGTTGCCTTTATATAGAAATATAGGCTATGAAATGGCTGTAAAGAAAAATATTCTACATATAGTCTGTAAACTTAGGATCATTCTTTATGTACATGCCATAAAGAGAGGATTTAATGTAGCTAATAATGGCTGTACTAGTGTGTGTTTTCACACAGATGATGGCAGTAATGCACCAGTTCAGTTTGCACTGACTCAAAAACAATACGAATGGGCGGGGCATCTGTCACTTGGGCGGGGTTTGTGTGTCTGGCCCCTCCCATCACTGCGATTGGTCTCTGCTGAAGTGTGTCCCTCCGCCGCTTCCGTCCGCGCTGACAGCAGCAGTAAAGATGGAGAGAGACTCTACGGTCCGCAGAATCAGAGCCCAGCAGAATCAGAACCAGCAGAACCAGCAAAACATTCGCGATGAAGCGAACGCGACGAACGGGTTCCGGAGCCGCAAACCCAAGCCGGAAGTGAGCGCACAGTTGCTGAGTGAGACTTCCGCTGTGGTTCTGATGCTCGGGTTCGTGTGTGTTCTGTGGGTTCTGGTTCTGGTGTCAGTCCAGCAGCTCGTCATCAGCAGAAGCACAGGACAGTTCAACTCCGTCCGGGCCAGGTACACTTTACCACAGTACAGACATGTTTACTATGGTATTGCATGATAACCATAATATTTACATGTCACTTCAATAATATATTCATAGAATACTATGGTAAATCAACATAATGTCATGGTAAAAAAATGTTATAGTGTTTTTAAATTATTTCTGTGATAGACCCCAAACAACTTTATATAGACTGGTATAATTAACATTTAAAATTTAAATATCTTTTTTCCCTGAAAGTCTGTATGTGTTTTTATTAACTATTCTAAATTAAGTTATCATTTTAATTGGTATTATTAATTGTAAACAAAATACTGGTAACACTTTACAATGTGGTTTATTAGTTAACTACCTTTGTTATTAATAAACTAAGAATGAACAATACATCTACAGCATTTATTAATCTTAGTTAATATTAATTTCAACATTTACTAATAGTCTACACATTATTAAAATCAAAGGTTGTATGTGTTAACATTAGTTAATGCACTGTGAACTAACATGAACAAACAATGAACAGCTGTATTTATTAAGTAACATTAACAAAGATTAATAACTGTGAACTAACATGAACAAACAATGAACAGCTGTATTTCTTAAGTAACATTTAACAAAGATTAATAAAAACTGTAACAAATGAATTGTGAACTGTTATACATTACTCAATATTTTGTTTACATCTACTGTGGTTACTACTGTTATTGTTACTTTTGTTACTGATACCACTATTGTTTTTGATGACAGTTGTGGCTGATACAATTTACCAGAGTGTTACCATGACAACAGTAACTAGTACCTCTGATTTAGTGGATTAATTATGGCTACCATGGTCAAATAGATTACTTATTATGAGACATATTTATTAACTTTAATGCATTAATAATATCTGTCTGCTGAGTTTTGATTACACAGGAAAGCATGAACAGAATCTAAAAGGATAATAAAAGGTTAATTTTAGCATAACTATTATTGTTTTTTTGTGTCATAGTGTAAATATCTCTGGCAACATAAAATAAGTCACGTGAAGGTTACAGATCTTTTAAGGAAGCAAGTTGTGATAAATTCATTCATTCTTGCTTTAATAAAATTGTATTTCATTTAATGTGCTTAAAACAAGATTTTTTTTGTTCACATGTTTATGTTTTAAATATCATACTACAGATATCTCTACTAATGATGCTTAAAGTTGGCAATAAATAAAAATGTGTTTCTTGTTCATCTCGTTGTGAATGTTTCATTCGTCCATAAAGCATTGAGTACTAAAGAATAGAGTAAAGTAGAATACTGTAGATTAACAGAATAGGACAGCATAGAATATAATAGAGAAAAATGTAATATAATAGAAAAAATAGGATAAAGTAGAGTAGAATAAAACAGAATACAATAGAATAGAGTAGAAAAGAATAGGGCAAAATAGAGTAGTGTAGAATAGAATAGAGTAGAATAGTATAGTATAGAGTGGAAAGAATATGATAGAATGGAGTAGAAAGGATGGGATAGAATAGAGTGGAATAAAATAGAGTAGATATAATAGAGTAGAATAAAAAGAATGAGATGGAGTAGAATGGAAAGAATACTATAGAGTTGGGTAGAGTAAAGTAGAGTAGAGTAAAAAGAATGGGATAGAATAGAATAGAGTAGAATAGAAAGAATGAGATGGAGTAGAATGGAAAGAATACTATAGAGTTGGGTAGAGTAAAGTAGAGTAGAGTAGAAAGGATGGGATAGAATAGAGTAGAATAGTAAGAATAGAGGGGATAGAATATGATAGAATAGAGTAGAAAGGATAGGATAGAATAGAGGGGAATAAAAAGAATGGGATAGAGTAGAATGGAAAGAATATGATAGAGTTGGGTAGAGTAGAGTAGAAAGGATAGGATAGAATAGAGTAGAATAAAAAGAATGGGATAGAGTAGAATGGAAAGAATATGATAGAGTTGGGTAGAGTAGAGTAGAAAGGATAGGATAGAATAGAGTGGAATAAAAAGAATGGGATAGAGTAGAATGGAAAGAATATGATAGAGTTGGGTAGAGTAGAGTAGAAAGGATAGGATAGAATACAATAGAGTGGAATAGAATAGAACTAATTTTATAGAATAGAGTAGAATAGAATAGAGTAGAAAGAATATGATAGTATAGGATAGAGTAGAATAGAATAGAGTAATCTTTAGTCATTACACACAGGTACATTGAATCTTTATCTGGCTTCTCTGCTGCAATTGAATAAGTGATAAAACTCCATAGGAACAAAACTCAAAATCTATAGATAATTAAATAACAATAGAGTAACAACAGAGCAGCAGAGTTGAGCTCACATGTGTAAAGTTGTGTGTTCTGATGATGTGCATCAGGAAGCATCTGGAGCGGATCACGAGCGTGGGGCCGCGGACCGTGGGGAGCCCAGAGAACGAGGTCGTGACGGTGCAGTATCTGCTGGATCAGATGGAGCAGATCCGGGCCGCGAGCAGAACCGGGCCTCACTCCATCACTGTGGAGGTGCAGCGGCCCACCGGCTCCTTCAGCATCGACTTCCTCGGCGGCTTCACCAGCGTCTACGCCCGCGTCACCAACATCGCCGTCAGACTCGAACCCAAGACCGGCGCGCAGCACTTCATGCTCGCCAACTGCCACTTCGACTCCGTGGCCAACAGCCCGGGTACGTCACATCAACGCTTCACACATCAACATGCTTCTTCCTTACAGGGAAAGTTCACCCCAAAATGAAAATTAGCCCATGATTTACTCACCCTCAAGCCATCCTAGGTGTATATGACATTCTTCTTTCAGACGAAGACCATCGGAGTTATATAAACAAATGTCCTGGCTCTTCCAAGCTTTATAATGGCAGTGAATGGCTTTTTCTATTTTGAAGTCCATCATAAAAGTCTATCTGTCCATCATAAAAGTGCATCTATCGTCATAAAAGTGCATCTGTCCATCATAAAAGTGCATCTATCGTCATAAAAGTGCATCTGTCCATCATAAAAGTGCATCTATCGTCATAAAAGTGCATCTGTCCATCATAAAAGTGCATCTGTCCATCATAAAAGTGCATCTATCCATCATAAAAGTGCATCTATCCATCATAAAAGTGCATCTATCCATCATAAAAGTGCATCTATCCATCATAAAAGTGCATCTATCATCATAAAAGTGCATCTATTCATCATAAAAGTGCATCTATCATCATAAAAGTGCATCTATCATCATAAAAGTGCATCTATTCATCATAAAAGTGCATCTGTCCATCATAAAAGTGCATCTATCATCATAAAAGTGCGTCTATTCATCATAAAAGTGCATCTATCCATCATAAAAGTGCATCTGTCCATCATAAAAGTGCATCTATCATCATAAAAGTGCATCTATCCATCATAAAAGTGCATCTGTCCATCATAAAAGTGCATCTGTCCATCATAAAAGTGCATCTATCCATCATAAAAGTGCATCTATCCATCATAAAAGTGCATCTATTCATCATAAAAGTGCATCTATCCATCATAAAAGTGCATCTGTCCATCATAAAAGTGCATCTATCCATCATAAAAGTGCATCTATTCATCATAAAAGTGCATCTATCCATCATAAAAGTGCATCTGTCCATCATAAAAGTGCATCTATCATCATAAAAGTGCATCTATCCATCATAAAAGTGCATCTGTCCATCATAAAAGTGCATCTGTCCATCATAAAAGTGCATCTATCCATCATAAAAGTGCATCTATCCATCATAAAAGTGCATCTATCCATCATAAAAGTGCATCTATCCATCATAAAAGTGCATCTATCCATCATAAAAGTGCATCTGTCCATTATAAAAGTGCATCTATCCATCATTAAATTAATATTTTTTTCATTTTTGGGTGAACTATCCCTTTAATTCCTCTTTCAGAGCTTTGAGATCTCAGTTACGTGACGTTTCATTTAAGTTTCAACTGTGATACAATATCAACTCTATGATCTAAGTATCAACATGTTTCTACTAGTTTCTCTCAGTGAATATTATGCAGCTTTATTATTGCTCAGAAGTTGCTCTTTCATAACTTAAGAGACTTAAATGAGACATAATTGAGAATCAAAATTATCTTTGACTTTGTCTCAGATGTTTCTTTTTAGGAAAATAAAAAAAAAAGTCCCAGTGAGAGTCTGTAAAATGAGTTTATATTGAGATCTCTGACATATATCGCAGGCTTTGAGCAAATCTCACTCTATTCACTCTCAATCTTATTTTTAAAACTCTATTAGTGTTTTCCTCAGGAGAAACATCTGAGTCGTCTGTTTAACTCTTCACTGTCTGGGAGAAATAGCTGAGATCTTGTGTGTGTTTGGGAATCTAGAACAGGCTGTTTTTTGTCTTATGAGAAATTATTTTGAGGAATTGTTTTGATATGATGTCATAAACGGGGAATGTTCCACATTTCTTCATTGGTGAACTCTGTCTCAGTTTTGTTTGTGTTGTTTGCTGTAGTTTGGAGTGACAGAGATCAGATCGAACAGTTTAAGGGTTCGTTGTGTTTGGTGTCAGTGATCTTTGAGTCAGATCTCATGACTTTCTCATTTTTCACTGTGTTTGTGTCTGGTGTTGTGTGTTATTGGACGGGTGTGTTGTGTTATTTGTGTTATTTATGCATACAGTGCATTATTTCCTATTATACTCTTTTGTGCTTTGTGTTGTGAAATCATGATCTTTAGAAAACCAGGAATTGAAAGTGAACAGCAGGAGCACTGATGTGTGTTTGTGTGTGTTTTTGTGTGTGTGTGATCTGGTCAGATGATTTGCAGATGACAGCATGTTAAAGATGCATATGCATGAGTGTGTGTGTGAGTGTGAGAAAGAGAGAGAGAGTGTGTGTGTGTGTGTGTGTCTCAGTCTGAGTGATCTGCTGATGTATGCATGTTAAAGATGAATATGCATGAGTGTTTAATAGGCATCTGTGGTTTGAGTTAGTCTGTGATTCTGTTGTAGTTCTGCCATGTTTCAAATTTATTTTATTATGTTCGTGTGCATGCTTTACTCTAGTGTGTCAGTAGTAACTTCAGGTTCTGTGTGATTAATAACGTGTGTGTGTGTGTGTCAGGAGCCAGTGATGACGCCGTCAGCTGCTCAGTGATGTTGGAGGTTTTACACTCTCTGGCGAATCTCTCGACTCCTCTCAAACACGGCGTGATCTTCCTGTTCAACGGGGCCGAGGAGAACATCCTGCAGGTCAGAGGTCACGACACACACACACACACTCATCTTCCTGTTCAACAGAGCCGAGGCTGACCTCTCTCACACACACACACACACACACACACACACACACACACACACACACACACACACACACACACACACACACACACACTCATCTTCCTGTTCAACAGAGCCGAGGCTGACCTTCTCTCTCTCACACACACACCCACACACACACACATATCTTCCTGTTCAACAGAGCCGAGGCTGACCTTCTCTCTCTCTCTCTCACACACACACACACACACACATACACACACACACACACACACACACACACACACACACACACACACACACACACATACAGTGTCTGAGCTGATACAAAATCAGTTTCATCTCCTCAGCATCCCAGATAGCTTAGAAACATGCAACAGAAACTTTTGACTCTTTCCTTTCCAGCACTTTAGACACAGTTGCTCCGTTAAGCTTAAAGAAGATTAAAGAAAATAGTCCAACACCGTGGTACAACGAGCACACACACACACACACACACTCAGGCCCTTAAGAGAGCAGCCAGAAAAATGGAGCGCAACTGGAAGAAAACTAAACTAGAGGTATTTCGCATTTCATGGAAGGAGAGCTCGATTGCATACAGAGAGGCTCTAAAAGCTGCTAGATCTGCTTATTTGTCAACCCTATTAGAAGAAAATAAACAAAACCCAAGGTATTTATTTGAAACAGTAGCTAAACTAACGAAAAAGAAAGCTTCAAGCCCAGAAGTGTCCAAGCAACACAGCAGTAATGACTTTATGAACTTCTTTACTTACAAGATTAATAATATCATCGAGAAAATTATAACCATGCAAACGTCTACTACAGTATCGCATCAGGCAGTGTCTGCACACACACTCTCACACACACACTCATGCATGTAAAGGTCGAGGTTGACTGTTGTTGACGTCTCTCTGTCTCAGGCGAGTCACGGCTTCATTACCCAGCATCCCTGGGCTCAGCAGGTGCGAGCGTTTGTGAACCTGGAGGCGGCAGGTGTGGGGGGGAAGGAGGTGGTGTTTCAGACAGGTAAACACTCCACACACACACACCTGTGTGTCTCCACACCTGAGGAGAATCTGCACTGTTGCTAGGCAGAACAAGATTCACTTCATCATCCTGTCATCATTTACTGACACTCTAAACCAGCGGTTCTCAACCAGACGATCTCGAGACGACAACCAGCACCGCAGTCAGATAAAACTACTAACAATCAACTGAAAAAATAATATTTATTATTTTAATTCACCCCAGAATTCACATGGTCTTCAAAAACTAGGATAAATAAGGACGCTTATTTGTAAAAGTGTGATTCCTAGACCTGGATATTAAATATTTTACCTAAATATTTTTTTTTAAAGCCTGATATTTTCTAATTTTCCAGTAAATCAGGAATAACTGGAAAAGTAATGTAAATTCACTGGTTAACAAGAGCGACCGATAGAAGCTTGTTTCCACCAGAGAATAAAAAATAAAAAAGGTAATCGCAAGCTTTTTATCTTCTCTTTATTATCAGAATTACGAGTTATAATGACAGAATTGCACGATAAAAAGTAGAAATTGCCTTTTTTACTAACTTTTTAAAGTTTATATCTCACAATTTTGACTTCTTTCATTGCAGTTCTGCATTTATATCCCACAATTTTAAGTAAAAAAAAGTTTAAAAAGTCACAATTACATTTAAAAACAACATCGGCTTTTTAAAATAGTAGTGCAAACACAGAATATAGTCTATTTACTCCACGAACATGTAAAACAGCGAGAGATGGACCGACGCTGAAGTCCAGGCGCTTCTTAAATGACGTTGCTACTGCCACATTTAGTTCCCGGGGAACTGCCCTGGTGGATAGTTCCTATAACTGACTTCCTTTTCTATAACTGACTATAACTGTGTGAAAGTGAGATTCGCTGATCTAAACCCAGATGTGTCTGATTTATTCTGTGCAACACAAATGTCCATCAGATTGTTGATGTGTCTGTTCACATTCACTTCCATGACATGGAAGAGAGCTGTGTGATCATTATGTGTGTGTGTGTGTGTGTGTGTGTGTGTGTGTGTGTGTGTGTGTGTGTGTGTGTGTGTGTGATGGGTAGGTTTAGGTGTAGGGTTAGTGTGTGTGTTTGTGTGTGTGATGGGTAGGTTTAGGTGTAGGGTTAGTGTGTGTGTGTGTGTGATGGGTAGGTTTAGGTGTAGGGTTAGTGTGTGTGTTTGTGTGTGTGATGGGTAGGTTTAGGTGTAAGGTTAGTGTGTGTGTGTGTGTGTGTGTGATGGGTAGGTTTAGGTGTAGGGTTAGTGTGTGTGTTTGTGTGTGTGATGGGTAGGTTTAGGGGTCATGTTTGTGTGTGTGTGTGTGGGTGATGGGTAGGTTTAGGTGTAGGGTTAGTGTGTGTGTTTGTGTGTGTGATGGGTAGGTTTAGGTGTAGGGTTAGTGTGTGTGTTTGTGTGTGTGATGGGTAGGTTTAGGTGTAGGGTTAGTGTGTGTGTGTGTGTGTGTGATGGGTAGGTTTAGGTGTAGGGTTAGTGTGTGTGTTTGTGTGTGTGATGAGTAGGTTTAGGTGTAGGGTTAGTGTGTGTGTTTGTGTGTGTGATGGGTAGGTTTAGGGGTCATGTTTGTGTGTGTGTGTGTGTGGGTGATGGGTAGGTTTAGGTGTAGGGTTAGTGTGTGTGTTTGTGTGTGTGATGGGTAGGTTTAGGTGTAGGGTTAGTGTGTGTGTTTGTGTGTGTGATGGGTAGGTTTAGGTGTAGGGTTAGTGTGTGTGTGTGTGTGTGTGATGGGTAGGTTTAGGTGTAGGGTTAGTGTGTGTGTGTGTGTGTGTGATGGGTAGGTTTAGGTGTAGGGTTAGTGTGTGTGTGTGTGTGATGGGTAGGTTTAGGTGTAGGGTTAGTGTGTGTGTTTGTGTGTGTGATGGGTAGGTTTAGGTGTAGGGTTAGTGTGTGTGTTTGTGTGTGTGATGGGTAGGTTTAGGGGTCGTGTTTGTGTGTGTGTGTGTGGGTGATGGGTAGGTTTAGGGGTCGGGTGTGTGTGTACAGAATATACAGTTTGTACAGTATAAAAACCATTATGTCTATGGAGAGTCTCCATTTAAATAGCTAAGTAAACGTGTGTGTGTGTGTGTGTCTCAGGTCCAGAGAACCCGTGGCTGGTGCAGGCGTATGTGCGAGCCGCTGTTCACCCGTTCGCCTCAGTCGTCGGTCAGGAGGTTTTCCAGAGCGGAGTCATTCCCTCAGACACAGACTTCCGCATCTACAGGGACTTCGGGAATATTCCTGGTGAGGGAAACACTAAAACATCTGTGAAAGTGATGGTGAAACACACCGCAACTGTGGCTGACAGAACTTTACCAGACAACAACACAGTATTAACACGTTTTACAGCTTGGAGGTACTGAGAAAATCAGGAGTATTTTCTGAGATCATGTTAAAGACTTCTTCTTCTTCTTCTGTCTCCTGCAGGGATTGATCTTGCGTTCATCGAGAACGGTTTCATCTATCACACTAAATATGACACTCCGGAGCGAATCCACATCGACTCCATCCAGAGAGCAGGTGAGACTCTGGATTCCTGATCCACAGGTTCATATAAAGACGAGTGTGTGAGTGTGTGAGCTTGTGAGCTTGTGAGAGTGTGTGAGTATGTGAGAGTGTGTGAGTATATGAGTGTATGAGTGTGAGAGTGTGAGCATGTGAGCTTGTGAGAGTGTGATTGTGAGAGTGTGTGAGTATATGAGTGAGAGAGTGTGTGAGAGTGTGAGCGCGTGATTGTTAGAGAGTGTGTGAGTGAGAGAGTGTGTGAGTGTGAGAGAGTGTGTGAGAGTGTGAGTATGTGAGAGTGTGAGTGTGTGTGAGTGTGTGAGTATATGAGTGTGAGAGTGTGTGAGAGTGTGTGAGTGTGTGTGTGTGAGTGGGAGAGTGTGAGAGTGAGAGAGTGTGTGAGTGTGAGTTTGAGTGTAAGAGTGTGTGAGTGGGAGAGTGTGAGTGAGAGAGTGTGTGAGTGTGAGTTTGAGTGTAAGAGTGTGTGAGTGTGAGAGAGTGTGTGAGTGAGAGAGTGTGAGTGTGAGTTTGAGTGTGAGAGAGTGAGCATGTGAGCTTGTGAGAGTGTGATTGTGAGAGTGTGTGAGTATATGAGTGTGAGAGTGTGTGAGAGTGTGTGAGTGTGAGTGTGTGAGTGCGTGATTGTGTGAGAGTGTGTGAGTGTGAGTGTGTGAGTGCGTGATTGTGAGAGAGTGTGTGTGTGTGTGTGAGTGTGAGTGTGTGAGTGCGTGATTGTGAGAGAGTGTGTGAGAGTGTGAGTGTGTGAGTATGTGAGTGTGTGAGTATATGTGTGTGAGAGTGTGTGAGTGTGTGAGTGTGTGATTGTGAGAGAGTGTGTGAGAGTGTGAGTGTGAGTGCGTGATTGTGAGAGAGTGTGTGAGTGTGTGTGAGTGTGAGTGTGTGAGGGCGTGATTGTGAGAGAGTGTGTGC